TATACGAGAGAGAGGGAGAGAATGAGAGAGAGAGAGAGAGAGAGATTCCTCCACAAATGCCCATGACAGGTGGCACTGGGCCAGGCTGAAGGCAGGAGCTAGGATCTCACCTGTGTGGGTGGCAAGCCCCACCCCCACCCCACTACTAGCAGGAAGCTGCAGCCAGGAGCCACAGCTGAGTATTGAACCCAGGTACTCCACTATGGGGTGTGGGAGTTCTTAACCACTAGGCCAAGAGCCTGCCCCCTATTTCATTATTTTTACATTCTTATGAAATACTCTCTATAATAACTGCAACAACAAAAAAAGAGAAGAAAGGAAGTATTTGGTAACACTAAGAGAGGGCCGTGGTTGGAATGAAACCTCTTGCGTTATTCACTGCTGCAATGGGAGTGTCTTGTCTTTCCCACGTGGGCGAGAGCTGCCTGGTCCATGTCCATTCGAAGTTCACCTTGTACCTGCTGAGGTCACAGCGAGGGAGATAGATAACTCCTTCCTTTAAATCCCCCCACTCTTTCTTTTCATGGTTTCTTGTTAGTGCTTTGAAGAAGTGAAGAAAATGTTATCAGGTGGCTGGGGTGACCCCATGGAGACGTGTCTGAAGCTCCTTAGTGGTCAGCAGAACATTTTCAGCATATCTGGTGTAAGCGTACTAGGCTAATGGTAACAGCTACTAGCAAGAGGAATTATTAATCTTTGGTTTTTCAAAGAAGTTCATTTATTTTAAAATTTTGTTTGGAAGGCAGAGTCTCACACACACACAGATGTTGATCTTCCATCCATTTATTCATTCCCAAAATACCAACAAGAGTCAGGGCTGGGCCAGCCAGGCCAAAGCCAGGAGCCTGAAGCTCGTCCAGGTCTCCCACGTGGGTGGCAGGGAGCCAAGTCCTTGAGCCAAAGCTGCTGCCCCCGAGGGTGTGCATTAGCAGGAAGGTGGATGGGAGGCAGCAGCGGGACTCCATCCTAGGCACCAAATACGGCAAGTGGGCTCCCTACCAGCTGCGGCACCGTGCCAGGCCCCATCTTTGCTTTTGAGTTTAGACTTAAGATTGCTACTATAGCTGGCCCTCCCTAGTTTCAGGTCCCATATCCGCAGATTTAACCAACACTGGATCAAAATGTAGTCAGGAATATGGTGGTTGTGTTTGTATTGAACAGATGCAGGCTTTCTCCAGTCATTATTCCCTAAACAATTGTCTAACAGCTCTGTATATACCATTTACATTGGGTTAGATATTCTGTGTAATCTAGACTGGATTCAGCAGTTAAGACACTGCTTGGGGCCCCCACATCCTGGCTGGACTCCTGGCTTCACTCCTGCTTCCAGCTTCCTGTTGATGCACACCCTGGGAGGCAGCAGATGATGGCTCAAGTCCTTGGGTGCCTGCCACTCATGTGGGAGACCGGATGGAGTTCAGGCTTCTGGCTTCGACCTGGCCCAACTATTATGGGTATTTGGGGAGTGAACCAGAAGATGGAAAAATCTCCATCTCTACGCCTTTCTGTCTACCTTTCAAATAAAACGAAAAGAAATAGAAACAATAAGATACAAGGGCATGTATATGGGTTGGGTGCAAATAGTGTGTCATTTTCTCCAGCAGACTTGACCTCTACAGATCTTGGCGGGCGAGGGGCTCCTGGGGCCTGTTCTCCATGCACAGAGGGACAGCTGCCTTCCATGGCTTTGTAGTCAGATGTTAAGTTTCCTGCTCAGAGCATTGGGAAAACAAAAACAAAGAGGACGCAGCCGCCGTGAGCAGGTGCCACCATCCCGGAGTCTGGATCCTCGTGCATGGCTGTAGTTCAGGGCCCCTGTGAAAGTGGAAGTTTAGGTGGGGAAAGCTTACGTTGTGGTGGCCTCTTCCATCCTGACGGGGGGCGAGACCGCACAGCGGGACCGGCTGTGCCTGCGGGAGTCACACATGTTGTGGTACAGCCGTGGCAGCTCTCTTGAAACGTCCTTACACATCCCTGCTGTGGCATGATGGGAACTTTCTGACCTGCCATGAGATCTGCTGCTTAATACATCCATAAAAAGGCTCATCTGGGGTCAACTACACGTCTTCAAGGTGCGGTAGCTCCTGGGCGTGCCTGGGTATTGCACCTTCCTCCCCTGAGGCTTCAGGAGGCTGTTAAAGGGGGCCGAGGTACAGAAAATGGCTCAGAACCCCCTTTAGGGTTTATGGTCTCACAGTGGCCCAAACATGAATTCACCATTGAGTGGTTGGGGCGGCTGCAAATCTGCCCCAGAGCTCCAAGAAGACAAGGAAGGCTCGCGCCCAGGCACAGGGCTGGCTCCTGGAGGAGACTCCTGAGCTCTGGAGTGGGGAGGAGCAGCGAGAAGAGCGAGGTCACCTCCCAGCAGGTGCAGAACCCAGGTCTCAGCGCCAGAGCTTGGCCACTGGGCTGGGTGCTTCCTCGGAGCTCCAGCAGTGATGGGGCTTGGGTGCTCAGAAGTGTGTGTGAGGACAGGGTGCAGAGGGGATAGTTTGAAAAAGGAAATTCAATGGTGCGGTAGAAATTTTCAAACCCGCTTAATTGATGGATAAATGACATACGACAGACTACACACATCTGGTACGTTTGGACATCCATGTAGGCTGTAAAAACGTCCCCAGTCGACGTGGTGAACATATCCATCACCCACATCCAAGTGTCCTGAAGCCCCTCCTGCCCTTCTGTTCCCAGCAACTGCTCACCTCCTTGCTGTCAGTAGGTTGGCTTGCTTTTTCAGAATTTGGTATGACTGCAGTATAGCACAGTTACTCTTCGGTCTGGCTTCTTTCACTAGGCATAATGCACTTTCTATTTTAAAGATTTTATTTATTGGAAAGAGAGAGAGAGAGAGAGAGAGAGAGAGAGAGAGAGAGATATCTATCTATCTATCTATCTTCCATCCACTGGTTTACTCCCCAAATGGCTGCAACAGCTAGGGCTGGGCCAGGCCAAAACCAGGTGCCAGCAACTCCATCTTGGTCTCCCATATCAGCGGCAGGGGCCCCAGGACTTGGGCCGTCTTCTGCTGCCTTCTCAGGTTGATTAGCAGGGAGCTGGATTGAAAGTACAGTAGCCAAAGGTGGCAGCTTAACCTGCTGAGCCACAACACGGGCCCTGGCGCATTGCATTTGAGATTATCCACGCTGTTGCAAACCAGCAGTTCACTCATTTTCCCCTCTAGCATTTCTTATAGAAGTGTATCTTTTGAAGTGGGAAAACAGAGAGTTGGGCATTGTGCACAGGAGGTTAAACCGCTGCTTAGGACATTTGCGTCCCTTGAGGGAGTGCCTGGATCCAGTCCTGGCTCCTCTGCTTTTTTTTCTTTAATCAAAAGCACTGTTCTTTTTTTTTTTTTTAACTATTTAATTAATTAATTAATTAATTTGAAAGGCAGATTTTCAGAGTGGCAGAGAGAGAGAGAGAGAGAGAGAGAGAGAGAGAGAGAGAGAAATCTCCCATCTGCTGGTTCATTCCCGAAATGGCCACAACGGCCAGAGCTGGGCCAATCCTAAGCCAGGAGCCAGGAGCTTCTTCTAGGTCTCTCACGTGGGTGCAGGGGCCCAAGGACTTGGGCCACCTTCTGCTGCTTTCCCAGGCCATAGCAGAGAGCTGGATCAGAAATGAAGTAGCCAGGACTCGAATCGGTGCCCATATGGGATGCTGGCACTGCAGGCAGCAGCCTTACCCGCTACGCTGCAGCGCTGACCCCTTCTCTGCTTCTGATCCAGCTTCCTGCTGATGTGCGTCCTTGGTGGATGCAGATGATGGCTCGAGGGCTTGGTCCCTGACACCCGAGTTCCTGGCTCCTGGCTTCAGCCTGGCCCAGCCCTGGCTACAGTTGGCATTTAGGGAATCAACCAGGGGATGGAAAATTTCTCTTTTCTCTACCTTTCAAAGAAAATAAAAAATGAAAAAAATTACAGAAATGTTCAACTTTAAGACTAAAAGGGAAGATAAACCTTTTGTCTTCATGGTTCAACAGTTCATTAAAAAGGAGTCTGATTCTTAATGCTTATCAAGTGGGAGTGTGGGTTAAAGTTGTTGAGAAACACTGTTCCGGAGTGTGGTCAGCATGCATTCCAGCCCAGGATTTTCTTACCGTCAGTGCTAATGTGCACACATTTGGAAATGTTTTAGACCCGAAAGAAGGCAGGACATCAAACCAGCCCCTGCAGCCAGCGGGCCTCTGCCACCGCACCCGGCTGATGGAAACCTTTGTGCCGGCCGCGCTGCCTAATGAGGTGTTCAGAAAGCATCCTGTGTGTCATCTGTTTTCTTACAGCCTTCTCACTCGCTACGTAGGGGAAGAATTATTTTCCAGATTGCATAAGTAGGAAATGAGGTGTAGGGTGTACGAGAGAATTATTACCCACACTCGCCCTGAGTCGGGGGCGGAGGAGGGCTCCGAGACCTCGCCTCTGACTTTCACTTTCGCTTTTGTCCTTATCTGGGTTGTGATGGAATCTTTAATTGGGAGAGTTTTCCTTCTTTCCTAATAAAACTTTCCCCTCTCTCCTTGGTCGCCAGGAACATGCGTACTGACTGCTCAGCGGAATTCCGCGATCCATGCGTGTTTTGTGCAAGGCTGTTTTCCAGGCCTGGAGGGGACAGGGAGCTGGGTAGATCCGGGGGGTGCCTAGGGAGCCGGTGGGGGAAGGACCCAAGGGCAGCGAAGGTGCCTTTTTTCTGGGGGTCCGGGAAGACTGGAGAACGAGGGGGAGAGTTGTGTGTCCACCCTCGCAGATACAGGCGCGCTTGTCCACCTGCCGCCTGCCGCCGTGGCTCCAGGGTAGTTCGAGGGAGGTTTGACCTCAGGCTGAGTATTTTTGGCTAGAACTGAGGGCCTTTGAAGGAAGCACAAAGCTGCATAGATTGGATCCAAGTGGGTCAGGGGTCCTGCCGGGTGGGTGGGACGGGTGGTGTTTTCACAGGCTGGGGAGGCAGGGTGGGGCTTCTAGGCTGAGGGGAAGGTCTGAGAGAGGCAGGGAGTGTGGGCAATGGGAAGTTGACAGGACTCTGAGAAGTCGGGTTAGGCCGGAGAACGAGGACGGGTGGTTTGAAGAGCGGTCTGCAGGTGACCCAGCCAGGGACGGGCAGGTAGGGGCCACCTGGGCGGGGGCAGGGGGAGGAGCATTGAGAGCAAGGTCGGTTTTTTAAAACTTTTCTCTTCTTTCACTTATTTTTTTTCAGCTGGAGATTTTCTAGTGGTGTGTGTGAGTTATATGTATTTCTTGTAATGATTAAGGAAGTTGCAAAAGCAGAGTCTCCTACAATCTGTACTGACGATGATACATTCTGTTCTAGTTCATGAGTAATTCCTTCTCTTCCAACTCTGATCACCCCGTTTATAAACAGAAGCATCAAATTGGCTCACTTATACATCTGTGTCCTTTCAATTCTTTTCCTAATTTTTAAAGATTTTTATTTCTTTAGGCTAAATGCATGGAGGAGGAATTATTGGGGGGATGTATACAAAACTAGGAGAAAAATTAAGCGGGGGCTTTACAAAGTTGGTGGAAAATAGAATTAAAACATATGTTTATTTGGGTACAAAAAATGTTGACATCCATGCATATGTGGAAACTTCATGCATGTTAGGAACAAAACTGCCTGGATCGCAACATTCTTTGCACCAAAATAAACTTACCTTTTCATTCTATTTCCCCACAAGTTTCTCTTACTTTTTATCTGTTTGAAGGAGAGGGACAGAGGAAGAGGGAGAGCTTTCGTCTGCTGGTTCCCTTCTTCCCTGAGTGTGTACAGCAGTGAGGGCTGCGCCAGGCCAGAGCTGGGACAGGGAACTTGGCCCGGGTCTCCCCCATGGGCGGCAGCAACCCACGTCCTTGAGCCGCCAGCAGCACCTCTCAGGGTCTGCATCCCAGGGCACAGGAGCCAGGAGCCGGAGTTGGGTATTGAACCGCTGGCGCTCGGGTGTGGCTTGTGGGTGTCTTAACGGCTGGCGGACTTGCCGCTCATCATCCTCATCACTGCCAAGCACAGCCAACTGCGCTGTCCCGAGCTTGCCGTGCTGCCTCCTCACCTTAAACACGGTCAGGGGCTCCCCTTTACCTTCTAAGTAGAGTTCAAGGTTCTGAGCAAGGCCTGTGAGTGACGGACGATTCCCTCCTCTCTGCCCCTTTGGCTCCACTCCTGTCTGTGCTTTCTCAGGGGGTCCGGGCTTGGCCCCTGTGGCCCCTTGGCCTGGGCCGCTTCCTTTCTCCTTTACCCTGGTGACTTGTCCTCATCGCTCCAGGTCCGGCCAGCGCATCAGGAGCCTGTGCCTTTCCTCCTCCGCCTGCTGCTTGCTCGGCTCCTCCAGGAGCGGATCAGATCCTCTTCTAACCGCCTGGTTGCTCATGTGTTTTTCCATTTCCCTGGCTCGAGGATTTTGAGGGCAGAGCCGGAGTCGGTTAGTCCTCTCTGGAGCTCCGTGCACTGACGCGGCACTGACCTAGAGTCACAGCCAGGCAGCGTTTGTGGAGTGAGCCGGGGTGGCTTCTCCCAGGGCTCTCTGCACCTGCTGGGCTTTCAGGACCTGTCCTGTCCATCCCACAGGGCCGATACAAGGAGACTTGTGCAAATTGGACTTTATGAGGATGTGCTGTAGAAGCTCATAAAGCGGAGTTAGTTTTGTCTTAAACATTTTTAAAACTTTACTTTCATTTTATTTGAAAGGTAGGGAGATACAGAGAGACCGTCATCTGGTGGTTCACTCTCCCAGTGCCTGCAAACAGCTGAGGCCATGCCGGGTCAAAGCCAGGAGCTGGGCACTCTATCCTGGCCTTCCACGTGGGTAGCAGGGACCCCAGTACGTGCGCCACTGCCTGCTGTCTCCCAAGGTGTGCGTTTGCAGGAAGCTGGAGTTAGAGCCAGGTACTGAGATGTGGCTTAACTGCTGTACCTGGGGCCTAGATTTTTAAAGTTTGCTACTAATTAGGAATGATAAAGCCAGTGACACTAAAACTTTTTTTTTTTTACTTTTATTTAAAGAATATAAATTTCCAAAGTACAGCTTATGGATTACAATGGCTCCCCCCATAACTTCCTAAAACTTTTATTTATTTATTTTTTTGAAGATTTAATTATTTATTTGAAAGGCAGAGTTACAGAGAGAGCGCGAGCGAGCAGAAGTGCTTTTATCTGCTGGTTCACCTCCCATATGGCTACAGCAGCCAGGGCTGGACCAGGCCAAAGCCAGGAGCCTGAGACTGCATCTGGGTCTTCCACAAGAGTGGCAGGTGCCCAAGGACGTGAGCCACCTTTTGCTGCCTTCCCAGGCACACTAGCGGGAAGCTAGATCAGAAGTGGAGCAGCCGGGACTTGAACAAGTGCCTACTTGGGATGCCGGCCCTGGAACACCTGCCCAGGTGTTACCCTGGAGATTCTCCTTCCTCACATGGGGCTGGGGCCCGCACATTTGTATTTTGAAAAAGCACAGGTGGTTCTGAGGGATTCCCCTTCCTAAGAACCATTGCTTTTTTTTTTTTTTTTAGAGTTTTATTTATTTATTTGAAAGGTAGAGTTACAGGGAGGCATAAGCGAGTGGGCGGAGGACTGGGGGGCTTCCATCTGCTGGTTCACTCCCTAAATGGCTGCAACAGCCGGAGCTGTGCCAATCCGAAGCCAGGAGCCAGGAGCTTCTTCCAGGTCTCTCTTGAGGGTGTAGGGGCCCAAGGACTTGGGCCATCTTCCACTGATTTCCCAGGCCATAGCAGAGAGCTGGATGGGAAGTAGAGCAGCTGGGACTAGACCGGTGTCCATATGGGATGCTGGCGTTGCAGACCAGGGCTTCAACCTTCTGCCCCGAACCATTGCTTTATGCAGTGCTAGTGTACAGTTTAGTCACTGTCCTGTGCCTCCAGTAGATTTGAGGGGAAGCGTTGCCGCATCCTTTATTCTTAGAACAGGACTCTGTCATCAATTCTTGGGCTGCACGGTATACTCTAGAAAATGTCTAAAATACAGACAGACACAAAGAAGAAGATAAATGTTGCTGGTCAAACTCCCACCCAGAGATGACAGAAAATCCTTTCCCTTTTTTGCTTAAAAATATACCAAAATGATCCAAAGTCATGGATGGGCCCTAATCTTCTGGAGTATTTTCTGTGGCTCACTAATGTCCACGTACATGCTTCTCCCTGACGAGGGACCGACTGTTGGTGCTGGGGAGTCAATCACAGATTGGCCAGGGGCAGTGGCCCTCGTGAGTCCATGGCCTAGTGCAGAGACACGTGTTACAGGTGTCGCACAAGGAGGTAGTGAGGAGAGCACCTTGTCTTCCGTTTAGTCACGCTGTTTTGGCAAACTTTTGCTCATCTAAGGCCCCAGTCAATTCAGTGTCATTTCTGGTAGATCTCTCTTAATCCCTAGTAACCACTAATTCCGTCTAGTTTTTTGTTAAGTGTCATCCTAGCACTTTTCTTAAATTAGCTCAAGTTCACAAGATTGATGCAAGACAGGTTTATTGTAAAAAAGAAAATAACCCTAAGGGTTTTTTTTTTTAAAGATTTATTTATTTGCAAGTCAGAGTTGTACACAGAGAGGAGAGGCAGAGAGTGGAAGTCTTCCATCCACTGGTTCACTCCCCAATTGGCTGATCCAAAGCCAGGAGCCAGGAGCCTCTTCCAGGTCTGCCATGCGGGTGCAGGGACCCAAGCACTTGGGCCATCTTCTGCTACTTTCCCAGGCCATAGCAGAGAGCTGGATTGGAATTGGAGCAACTCAAACCAGCACCCATGTAGGATGTTGGCACTGCAGGCGGCGGCTTTACCCGCTACGCCACAGCGCTGGCTCCCAAACCCCGAGTTTTATTGAGCTATAACTCACACAGACAGGTTGGGCGTCCCTACTCTGAAAATCCGCAGCCCGGAATGCTCTGACACTGTGTGACACTGGCACCTGTGTGAGCACGATGCTCAACAAAGCTCAGGTTTGGGAGCCTTTGGATTTCAGAGTTTTGGGTTAGGAATGCTCATCCTGGAAACTTTATGAAAACATTCCAAAACCTGAAAAATTCTCAAATCGGAGACACTTTGGGTCTAAGTGTGTCAGATGAGAGATGCCCGCCCTCGACACGGTGCTCCCCATGGAGCTGTGTGCCTCCGTGGCTTTTAGTGCATTTGCGCATCAGGCCACAGCACACCATCCATTCCAGAACTTTCTGCCATTACTCCTCATTTCTCCTCGCCTGGGCCTCGCCAACAACTAATTTACTTTCTGTCTCTGTAGCTTTGCTTATCCTGGTTCATAAGAGGGGTTCTGCAAAAAGTTTGTAGAAAATTGGACGTAAGAGGCATGTTTGCTTTGGTACACACACTTTGGAAACCCAGGCGTAGTTTTTCACGGTACACACTGTGAACCTCTTGAGGACCCCTGTGCCATTTCGCATTCCTACCACAGCGTGGGGGAGTTCTGATGTCTGCATCAGCCCCAGCACTGTTGCCAAGCATTCTGGTTATCACCGAAGGTGGGTGTTAAGATTCCCACTTTTTTGGCCGGTGCCACGGCTCACTAGGCTAATCCTCCGCCTTGCAGCACTGGCACACCGGGTTCTAGTCCTGGTCGGGGTGCCAGATTCTGTCCCGGTTGCCCCTCTTCCAGGCCAGCTCTCTGCTGTGGCCCGGGAGTGCAGTGGAGGATGGCCCAAGTGCTTGGGCCCTGCACCCGCATGGGAGACCAGGAGAAGCACCTGGCTCCTGCCATCTGATCAGCGTGGTGCGCCGGCCACAGCACACTGGCCGTGGCAGCCATTGGAGGGTGAACCAACGGCAAAGGAAGACCTTTCTCTGTCTCTCTCTCTCACTGTCCACTCTGCCTGTCAAAAAAAAAAAAAAAAAAAAGACTCCCACTTTTTCCTGATCAGGACACCAGGTTCCGAGTGGTCGCCAGGCCATGGGCGACGCCCTGTGCTCGGGGACACAGGGTCTCATCTGGCTGTGCTCCTGCAACACTGTGATGCCCCCGTAGAGAAGCACACAGAAATTAGCTTTGAAACATACTGAACTGTTTCAGAATTAGCTGGCAGTTGAATATTTGATATGAAAGATTTTTAAAAAAAGATTATTTATTTGAAAGGCAGAGTTACAGAGAGGCAGAGAGAGAGAATCTTCCATCCACTGGTTCACTCCCCAAATGGTGGCAATAGCTGGAGCTGTGCTGAGCTGAAACCAGGAGCCAGGAGCTTCTTCCAGGTCTCCCACATGGGTGCAGAGACCCAAGCACTTGGGCCATCTTCTACTGCTTTCCCAGGCCATTGTAGAGAGCGGGATCGGGAGTGGAGCAGCCGAGACTTAAACTGGCACCCACAATGGATGCCGGCACTGCAAGCTGCAGCTTTACCCACTGTGCCACAGCGCTGGTCCCGATAAGAGGGATTTTTGTAAATGGCTGGTATCCTTTCCATAAAATACATATGCTTAATCACCCCATTATATCAAGGTTTCCATCCAGGCCAAGATTATGGGTGATCAAGGGTGGTGAGAACCCACTGACAGTTCCTCGAAGTTTTGCATTTCCTTATTTTCAAAATCATCATGCTTTTTCTAAGAAATTTGTATTTATTGATTTTATTTATTTCAAAGGCAGAGAGAGCTTTCCTGTCTGCTGCTTCAGTCCCCAAGCGCCCAGCAGCTGGGGCGGGGCCAGGCTAAACTTGGAGCTGAGGAGTCAGGCTAGGTCTCCTCCGTGGGTGACAGGGACTCAACCTGAGGTTTACTGCTTCCCAGCTGAATCCTAAGCGGAGCAGCCAGGACTCAAACCAGGCGTGCAGATGTGGGACGCAGGCATCCCACGTTCTACTTTCTGCTGCCCCACAGTGCTAAGCCCACCCCCATAACTACGATCAGTTACTCTGTAGACTGTCCTTGATGGGCTTTGACTGCGCATGTCCTGGTGGGTAGATCCAGATGGTGCATTTTTCCCGTTCTCTCTACAGGTGATGTTGGGTCCGCAGGGGGTGTCAGGGCAAGGCCTGCTCACTCGGTTGAGGAAGCATTCACCAGATTTCTCCATCATGAAGGTGCTGGCCCCTTTGCCACTTTTTTTAAAAAAGGTTTATTTATTTATTTGAAAGGCAGAGTTATACAGAGAGAGAGAGAGGTCTTCTATCCGCTGCTTCACTGCCCAGTTGACCACAACAGTGGAGCTGTGCCGATCCAAAGCCAGGAGCCAGGAGCTTCTTTCAGGTCTCCCACGCAGGTGCAGGGGCTGAAGGAGTTGGACCACCTTCTACTGCTTTCCCAGACCATAGCAGAGAGCTGGATTGGAAGTGGAGCTGCTGGGTCTCAAACCAGCGGCCGTATGGGATGCCGGCGCTTCAGGCAGCAGCTTCACCTGCTACACCACAGGGCTGCCCCCTCTACCCCCACCCCCCTGCCACCACCATTAATAAACGATATGCTGGCTGATGCTTAGAGCTTGCACGCATATCCTTTTCTTCCTCTTTAAAAAATATATTATGGATATGCTCGTTTATTTGAAAGAGAGACAGACTGAGCTCCCGACTCTGGATCACTCTCCCAGTGCCTGCAGAGGTGGGGACTGGGCCAGGCTGAAGCCGGAAACTCAATCCAGGTTTCCCAGCTACTCGGGCCTTCATCTGTTACCTCCCAGGAAGCCAGAATTGGGAATGGAGCTGGAGCTGGCTCTCAGGCATTGCAAAACGGGCCGTGGGTGTCTTAACTGGTTGGCCACATGCCCGCCCTGTGAACGTCCATTTCATCAGTGGCATCTTGTCCGGTGGTTTTGCAGCCAAGATGATCCTTGTCTGAGTCATTTGTTTCCGTGGTGGCTGCAAGCTGGTGGTTTTCCACTTGTGTCATTGCTTTTACGTTTATTAATTGAGTTTATGATTCTGATAGCTAAGCAAAGGGAATTCAGAAACGATATGAACCCACAGATGTTGCCTTATTTAGGAAAAGGATTTTGAGAGGTGGAGATTATTCTCGATTATCTTGCAGGCCCTAAATCCACTGACGAGGACCCTTGGCAGAGGGAGTTCTGAGACAGGCACGAGGAGACACAGAGGTGAGCAGGAGGCGTCGTCAGTGCAGAGGCAGAGGAGGGGACGAGGGAGGCACAGCTAGGCAGAGGAGCAGCCTGGGCCGGGAGCAGGAGGAGGCAGATGATGGGCTGTTCCCACGAGTCCCAGGGGGCTGTGGCCGGCTGACCCTTGGATGTCCCACTTCTGGCCTCCGGAACGGGGGAGAACACGTTTCTGTTTGAAGTCCCACCAGCTGTGGCAGTTTGTTTAGGGCAACCGTGGGAAACTGATACAAAGGTCAATAGAAGGTTTTTTGATTTTTAATAACATGGTTCAAAATACTGGAAGGTTTGGGTGGAAAGGTTCAATAAAGGGAAACTTGATGCCAGAAAGGGGAGAGTTGTTGGAGCCACCTGTGGGTCGGTGGCGACCGGGGGGTCTGCTGGGGGAGAGTCTTGCTTTGCAGAGGGGCCTGCTGTCCGTCCAGAGTGCAGGCCGAGTGTCCCTCGTCTGAAATGCTTGACACCGGAAAATGAGTGATTTCTTCAGATTTTAGAATGTGAAATGTCTTGGGGTGAGACTTTCTTTTTTCTCTTGCTGTATTGAAATACCCGAGGTTGGATACTTAACAAAGAAAAGAGGGCTCTTTCGTTCACAGTCTGGAAGTCCCAGAGCGTGGCACTGCTGAGGGCTGCAGGAGGCATCCCACGGGTGTGTGTGTGTGTGTGTGGGGTTGCATGGAGAGACAGGAAGCAGAGAAGGGGAGGGGTCAGCTTTGCTCTTTGATAACTCCTGGGAGACCCAACCGGGAGAGCAATGAATCCTCCCAAGGGCAGGGCCACCAAGGACCCGTTGACCTTGCACTGATAGGGCATTGACCTCTTCAATGCCCTATCTTCTCTTAACCCCGCCACACCAGGGACCAAGCTTCTGATGCGTGAACCCCAGGAGAACACACTCAAACCATAAACAGATCATAGCAGGGCCCAGTTCCAGCCATGAGATTCGCTCAGGTTTCACAGACAAGGGTTTCAAGTACAAGTTCATGAGCAAATGAGTGAAAAGACAAGTTGGGCTGGTGTTTGGCAGTTGGGCTCTGCCAGCTGGGACAATGGGATCCCTTATCAGAAAACCTTTGTTCCAGCTTTCTGCTAAAGCAGACCCTGGGAGGCAGCAGCAATGGCTTTGCCACCTATGTGGTTGACCTGGGTGGAATCCTTGGCTCCTGACTTCAGCCTGGCCCAGTCTTTGCCATTGTGGACATATAGAGAGTGAGCCAGTGGGTGGAAATCCGTGCATATTTTTTTCGTAATATACACTTTTGCATAAACTTGTTGGAGACCCCTTATCCTCCTGCCACTCAGAGCCTGAAAAGAATTTTACCCAGTGTTTCTAGCGTGCTGGCTTTTGATTGTGACCTGCCACATGGGATCCTGTGTGGCGTTCTCCACTTGTGGCGCTGTGTCAGTGCTCCCAAAGCTCAGGTTTCGGATTTGCAGTTTTGTCACAAGAGGAAGGCAGAGACTGGGGCCACGTGCAGGCATAGCTGTGGTTGGTAAAGGGGACGGTGGCGGCTTGTGGCCGTTTTCTTTCTGCTGCTTCCTTTTTCTCTGTGAAATAAGAGATTACTTTTTAGCTAAGAGTACAGAAGAGCAGAAGCTGGAAGTTTGAAGAGAGAAGAACCATATTCAGGGCTTTTTTTTTTTTTATGTATTTGAAAGAGTTACACAGAAAGGTAGAGACAGAGAGGCCTTCCATCTGCTGGTTCACTCCCCAGATGGCCACAACAGCCAGAGCTGTGCTGATCTGAAGCCAGGAGCCAGAAGCCTCCTCCGGGTCTCCCACGCAGGTGCAGAGGCCCAAGGACTTGGGGCCATCTTCTACTGCCTTCCCAGGCCATAGCAGAGAGCTGGATCAGAAGAGGAGCAGCCAGGACTAGAACGGGTGCCCATATGGATGCCGGCGCTTCAGGCCAGGGCTTTAACCCACTGTGCTACAGCGCCAGTCCCGGTCTGTCTTATTTGGATAATGTCAAGGCCAGACACAGCCTTGCACAGGTGGATCCAAGGATTTCTCATGGGGCAATGCTCCCTGACTCTACTCAGAACAGCTCGTGACTTTTCCCTGGGAAGCCGCTCGTTGACAGATGATTTGGGTGTCCAGGTGGAAATGAGTGTGTAGAATTCTGGAGAATGAAAGGAGACATGAGGGCCAGCGCTGTGGCGTAGGGGGTAAAGCCGCCACCTGCAGTGCTGGCATTCCATATGGGTGCCGGTTCGAATCCTGGCTACTCCTCTTCCCATCCAGCTCTCTGCTGTGGCCTGGGAAAGCAGTGGAGGATGGTCCAAATCCTTGGGCCCCTGCACCGGCATGGGAAACCCGAAAGAAGCTCCTGGCTCCTGGCTTCGGATCAGCACAGCCCCGGTCGTTGTGGCCATCTGGGGAGTGAACCAGCAGATGGAAGACCTCTCTCTCTGCTTCTCTTTCTCTCTCTGTGTAACTCTGACTTTAAAAAATAGATAGATAAATCTTTAAAAAAAAGAAAAAAGAAAAAAAGGGGACATGAAATTTCTTAGTGCAGGAGGGAAAATAAGAGACCTTTTGAGGTTATCAGAAAGATAACTAAAGCATTAGGGATAAGTCTTAACTGCAGACTTGGGGGCTTAACAGACTTCAGGTTCGCGATGCTTAACAAGATGCAGGTGGTGGAGAAAAGCTTCAGAAACGGGCATAACTGTGATACAGGAGGGCTGCGGTCTGTTTTGCTCGTGGGTCAGAAATCATGTTTCTGAACGCTGGCCGTGGGACTTAAATAATGTAGGTGAATATTTTGTTGGGCTCGTCTGGGATATATAAGTGGGACGCACAAAGGAGGATGCCTTGGGTGCCTGGCGTCTTCTCTCTGCCCTGTGTCCTCTCTCCTCTCTTTCCATCCTGCTCTCTCCCCAGGAGATCGGACCAGCATGAACAACAGCCTCCGGCTTCCTGTTGGGTCAGGCCAGTGAGGAGTGCCTGCAGATGGAGGGAAGGCAGACGTGAGGTTGAGGAGTAATATCCTTGACTCCTGTGGCGTCAGCTCAGTGCTGCTGTGCCTGGCAGTCGAAGGTCCTCTCACTGTGTCCTCTCCTCGCAGCTCAGGGTTGCGTGACCCCTCCCTTCACACACCCGTTGGGCCTCGCTGACGACAGCACCGAGCAGCCTCAGGAGTTGTGCTGTGCCCACCTGCATTTATAAGTCAGTCACACCTTGGTACAATGCAGAGCTGAGCGTGCCATTGATTTCTCCGCTGGAACACTGATTCCTTAGAAATTTCCAAGGTGTCTTGTACTCAGCATTGCTAGCATAAGAGATAAATACTCAGGGCCAGAGCTGTGGCGTAGTGGGTAAAGCTGCTGCCTGCAGTGCCGGCATCCCATGTAGGCACCGGTTTGAGTCCCGGCTGCTCCACTTCCAATCCAGCTCTCTGCTATGGCCTGGGAATGCAGTGGAGGATGGCCCAAGTGCTTGGGCCCCTGTACCCATGTGGGAGACCTAGAAGAGGCTCCTGGCTCCTGGCTTCAGATTGGCGTAGCTCCAGCTATAGTGACCAACTGGGGAGTGAACCAACAGATGGAAGACCTATCTCTCTCTCTCTCTGTAATTCTGACTTTCAAATAAATAAATAAATCTTTAAAAAAAAAAAGAGAGAGAGATAAATACTCTGTGGATAGCTGCACCATTTTCACACTCAACCATTGTCCAGTGAAAATCTTCTGGACAGTATTAATGTTTAATTTTTTATGTGCTTTTTTGACTCCTGTATATTCCATATCTTATGGTATTTGCTAAATGTGTTTTTTTTTTTTTACATCCTTTACCTACTAAAATATTCTCTTTTCCTCCACTTCCAATCCATAAATAAAACATCATCTCAATAAAAAAAATAGCATTAATTAAAAGTTGGTAGCCTGTAGGCTAGGGTTCCCTGCCCTTGCTAACGTCAGGTCACAGCACACCTCACTGCGTTTGTGTACTTCACAGGATCACCAGGCTGGTAGTAAAATTCTCTGTCCTTTGAGTGCATGTGGAAACTGGCCTCACCTGATTTGCTCCATCTATAAAACAGTTAACTTGCAATTCTGCTTATTGGTGCAGAATGGGACTCCAACATTTAAACTTGAAGCTAGGGCATAATGATTAAGATGATGTAGTGCTTGGGTTTGCGCTTCCTGCTAATGCACAGCCTGGGGGGCAGCAGATGGTGGCTAAAGTACTTGGGTCCCTGCCATCCATGTGGGAGACCCAGATGGAGTTGCAGGCTCCTGGCTTTGGCCTTGCCCAGCCCCACCTGTTGTGGGCATTTTGGGAGTAATCCAGCAAGAAAATTAGACAGAGATTTCCCATCATTGGTTCACTCCCCAAATGCCAGCAACAGCTAGGGCTGGGCCAAGCCAAAGCCAGGAGCTGCGCCCTCAGTGTGGTTTCTCATGTGGGTAGCAGAAACCCAAGTGCTTGAGCCATGTGCTCTGCGTGGAAGCTGGGATTCCAGCCCAGCTCTCCAGGGTGGGATGCAGATGTCTCAACCACACCTTAACTGTCAGTCTGCATGCCTGTCCCTGTACTTTCTTTATAGCTAAGTAGCTTTGCAGACACTTCACCTTGTAGGTTTTGCTAAAGGTAAAGTAAACGTGGACAACTGTTTCTTCTGTGTTTCATTTCCAAGGGAAAACCTTGCCACCAGGCCATTTCCTGGACATAGCCCAGGCTTTGAGTAGGTATGGCAGTCCCCAAATTTGGCTGCAGTGAGGGGGGATTATTTGGGGGACAATGGAGTAGTTCCAAGCATCCACTCTAATGTTCCCAGCCAGCCTGACTGTTATCCCGTTTTCCATCTTTGATTTGCACGTGGGACTGTGACCGTGGCCTGCTTGGTCCCCTTTCTGGTCCCTCTCTGTCCTAGCACTGGGAGAGGGGACCGGGTTGATGCCCTGCCTTGGCCAGTTCCCAGTTGTGACTCATGTCGCTGTCCTCTCTGGGTGTCCCCTAGGTTCAAGGCTGTCACCTG